TGAACGCTCAGAGCATAGCAGATGGCAACATGGTGATGTGTTATGGAATCTCAGCTCTTTGTCTATTGACTGGCAGGCTTTTGAGTGAATTACTTAGGCTCTCATCAACTCAGTTGAGTCACCTGTAAGAAAAGAAGTGCCCCAGCTTTCCCAGAGGGAAGCTCTGGGAAAGTTCACCACTTGAAATTCAGCTCTCTGCACAGGATAGACCAGCAGATTGTGAATATCGTCACTTGTTTCTAAGCAAGGTTCTTTGCCCAGGTTCCCTGCCAAAATGGAGAGAGGGTTCCAAAAAATACCTTTTCTAAAAAAATGTGTGTCCTTTATTTATTTTTGGATGTACTGGATCTTCATCGCTGCATGTGCTTTTCTTTAATTTTGGTCAGTGGGGACTACTCTCTAGTTGCGGTGTGCGGATTTCTCGTTGAAGTGGTTTCTCTGCTTGCAGAGCACAGACTCTGGGGCACATGGGCTTAGCAGTTGTGGCTTCCAGGCTTTAGACAAAGGCTCAATAGTTGTGGAGCACCGGCTTAGTTGCTCTGAGACGTGGAACCTTCCCACATCAGGGATCAGACCAACATCTCCTGCAGTGGCAGGCAGATTCTTTTACTGAGCCACCAGGGAACGCCCCCAAAATACCTTTTTGTTTAAAAATTGTGCTTTCTTGCCTTTTTGTTGTTGTTGTTCAGTCTCTCAGCCATGTCCGACTCTTTGCGACCCCATGGACTGCAGGATGCTGTCCTGTGGCTCACCATCTCCTGGAGTTTGCTCAAACTCATGTCCATTGAATTGGTGATGCCATCAAAATGATGTCATCCTCTGTTGTCCCAACTGTTCAAAAAAAGTGAAAGGAAGATTGTGATTATTGTCATCTTTGCCTCTTCATTGTTGCTCTGGGTAAAGCAATGAAAGAGTGCAAATAAATGTTCTCTTCCCCTGCTGTGCAGTTTGGATAGTGGAGCAGAAGGCAGCATCCACACCGGTCACACCTGGACTTTAACTGGGAAGTAAAGATCAGTGAGGGAGAAGGCAATGGCAGCCCACTCCAGTACTCTTGCCTGGAATATCCCATGGACAGAGGAGCCTAGTAGGCTACAGTCCACAGGGTTGCTAAGAGTCAGACACAACTGAGCAACTTCACTTTGTTGTTGTTTTTTTTCAGTGAGTATTATCAGGTTTTTATTGCATGTAATCTTCAATAGAATAAAAGAGATTGCATTAAAAAAAACCCAACAACCCTTATAACATCTGTCTTTCAGAATTTTGAACCTTTCACTCACAGCTTTATTAGAATGAACATCCTCCTGGTTTGCGCCTAGAACACCAACGAGGCACAGTTACTGAATTGCTTTAGAAAAGCAACTTCACTTTGACTTTTCACTTTCATGCAATGGAGAAGGAAATGGCACCCCACTCCAGTGTTCTTGCCTGGATAATCCCAGGGATGGGAGCCTGGTGGGCTGCCGCCTGTGGGGTCGCAGAGTCGGACATGACTGACATGACTCAGCAGCAGTAGCAGCGAGATGAGTGAAACCTTTTGGCTCTTTAGCTTGTCTTGGTCTCTTGGTGTTTTGTAATTTGTGACAGTTTTTTCAAAAGGATCAAACTGTTGCTTCCTGGAGATAGTGCGGGTGGGGAGTGTGGGAGTGTGTGTGTGAGGGTTGCTGAAAGTCCCTATTGCAGTACCTTGTTTCCCTGTGTGTGTGGGTGCTCAGTCGCTCAGTCGTGTCTGACTCTTTGCAGCCCCATGGACTGTAGCCTGCCAGGCTCCTCTGTCCATGGAATTTTCCAGGCAAGAGTACTGGAGTGGATTGCCATTTCATTCTCCAAGGAATCTTCCTGACCCTGGGATCCAACCCATGACTCTTGCATCTCCTGCACTGGCAGGCAGATTCTTCACCACCACGCCACCTGGGAAGCCCACCTTGTTTCCTTAGTTAGAAAAGAAGCCGGGATGAGAAGTGGGATGGGAAGGGTGCGGTGTGTCTGAAGCAACGCCCATAGCCCCATCGTTCTTGCACTGCTGCAGGGGTTGTACCCTTAGCTAAAGTCTCTGCAACTCAGCTGCTCTCTGCTGACATTATATATTTCAAGCAATTCAGGATTCTTTTCTGGAACCCTGGCTTCTTTCTGTTCTTTTTTACTAATTTCTTGTCACTTTTCACCTGACCATTTTTCTCTAGCTCAGAGAGTGTCAAAGTTTTTGTTTGTATACTCTCTTAAGGAACTTTCAGAAACTATATACACCTGCATGTATTTTTTAACTTGACATGCAGTCTTTTATTACAGATTTTAAATGACTAATGAATTGGATTCAATGAGATGAATAGATTTGATCTCTTGTGTATTGTGAAAGTTAGCTATTTAAAATTAAACTAGAATAGCCCTCGTTGTATACAGTGAAATTTAAATACCAGTGGCCAGGACTTCCCTGATGTTTCAGTGGTTAAGAATCTGCCTCCCAGTGTAGGGACACTGGTTTGATACCTGATCTGGGAAGATCCCACATGCTACAGAGCAGCGAAGCCCATGTGCCGTAACTACTGAACCCTGTGTGCCTACAAAGAGTAAAAATTAAAAATTTTCATAACCTCCTGCTCCTTCTGCCTCTGTAACTCAGCTTGCTCCTTGCAAAATCTAGATCACGTAGGTCACGTAGTCTCAGAAAGTGGGGACTTAACAATACTAGGAACTGGAGCTTATCTCACTCGCCCTTATCCTGCTCTTTGCAATTGCCCAGCCCCTGCAAACCTGCTTAATCATGCCTGTCCGTGTAAAGGTCAGGCATCCCCTTCCCCATCCTGACTGCTGTTCCCGTGCATGTGGAACCCTTTAGTTTAAACCAGCCTATTAACAGCCAGTGTTGCCCACTATAAGCTGTCTATGAAAACTCTGTAACCCCTTTGTTCGGGGCTCAGAGCTTGGAGTGTTAACTGCTCTGGGCCCGCTGTTGTAATAAACGTGAGTTCTCCAGCTTTCCGAGTGTGGTGCTTGGTTTCTTGAGCAGTGGTTTCTGCAACACCTAGAGCCCATGCTCTACAACAAGGGAGGCTCCCACAGTGGGAAATCCACACACCACAACTAGAAGAGTACCCCTGATCACCACAACTAGAGAAAGCCTGTGCACAGCCTTGAAGACCTAGTGCAACCAAAAAAAATAATAATAATACCAGTAGCAATTTGATACTGGTTATTGTGGAGGAAGAATGTCACCTGCAGTATCAGTAAACAAAGGATGTTGTGGCCTCTAAGCCAGCAGCTACTGCTGCCTCACAGACTGTGCACCCTGAGGGGACTCAGAATAGAGAAAAACAGGATACTGGCCCTAAATAGTTAAAATGCATAGCAAAGGAAGGATTTCAAAGAACCTAGACTTTTGCATCTTCTCAGAGAAGTAGTAAATTCATTAACTTGAGATGCCAGGTTTTCTTTTTTTAAAAATATTTATTTATTTATTTTGGTTATGCAGTGTCTTCATTGCAGCCTGTGAGATCTTAGTAGTGGCAGGCGGGATCTAGTTCTCTGATCAGAGGTTGAATTTGGGCCCCCTGCATTGGGAGCAGAGAGTCTTAACCACTGGGCCACCAGGGAAGTCCCAAGATGCCTGGTTTTCTTTAGCAGTAATCTTTTAATACTCTTAACTACCTGTTTTGTTTTGTTTATATATATATATATATCCTAGCTTCTCCCTTACCTCTCTGGAACTGTCTTTTAGCTACCTGAGAACCTGTTTCCAGGGCTTATGTCCTTAGTATATCTGCTGAATAAAACAATTCTCAACTCCTAGGTTGTGTCTTATAATTCCTTTAAAAATAAGCAAACAAGTTCATCTTATAACATTTGGAAATTTTATATCATATGCTTTTCTTTTTAATCTTCTGTTTCCATTCTACTTCCCCCACAGAACTTTATTCTAGTGAAATCTATGCTTTATAGTCTGTTTCTGATATCCATTTGTATAACAAAAATATATATCTTGAGTTAATTTTTGAAACATTGCCTCAGATAAATCATTAAAAGATTAAAGAGTTATTATTACAGCTATTACTATACATTTGATTAAAACAATATAAATATATTACAGACTGAATATTATTAAACAGAAAAACATTAAACAGTAAACATTTACTGGCAATACATTTCTGAGTGAGGTGGATGAGGGTTTTTTTGTTTTTCATTTAGATCATGTATCACTGGTAGAAATGGAAGAAGTTTCCTGTTGAACTTCTTCTGAGTAATGTGCCCAAACCTCATAGTAAACTATGATCACGCTGATTTTCAATTTAATTAAAAGCCAAATATTTGAGAACACCTGAGGTGTAAAGTATGCATTGACAAGGGTAGTCTCCTTGATGGGACTTCAGCGAGGTTCGTTTGAGCTATCTTCTTGACTAGGCCTCTCCTTGGCCTTGCACATCTGTCTGCACTGACCCACATTTAGCAAGAATCTTGCTAAGTTATCCCCCTACCCTGGATATCCAATTACTTTGCCCTGCCTTCAGGAAGAATTCTCTTAAGTCAACTTAGCAAGAATGCCCCTCCCCTTGATGTGTCCTGCTAGTGATTTTCCATCCCCTGACTCCCTCACTCTGCTCCCTGGCTATAAACCCCCACTTGTCCTTGTTGATTTGGGGATTCAGCTCCATCACACTCTCCCCTGGGCTCACAGCCTTGAATAAAGTCTTTCTTAACATTTTAACATGTGTCAGAGTAATTTCTCTTTAAGAGAGTTGATACCAGTATGTGCAGTGGCCTTAGACAGATACCTAAACAGTTTTCAGTTCTAGACCAGTACAGCCCATAAGGATAGGGATGAGCGGGAGGTGTGCCTTGTTTTGTGGAGAGAAGGCTGATCGTGGAAGGGGAACTAGCGCAGCCGCTTGCCCAGCATCTTCACCAGAGCGTGTGTTCTTAGGAAGGTCAGTTTCAGGAAAGAGGGCCCATAAGGAGGTCTAGAAATTGCATTTTTAACAGCATGTGGACTTGAGACCACAGGTTACTTGATGCGTTTGCCACTCCCTTGCAGGAGAGGACCTGGTGACCACAGCCACGACGCCAGGGCTTCAGGCAGCGGAGCAGGGTGTGAGGGGCCATCACTGTGGTGGCTGGCCAGGCCGCCTTGCGGTCGGCTCTGTGGGCAGTGGCTCTGTTTCTGGACTTCATCCTGGGCAGGTCACGCTCTGTCATAGGGCTGGGGGGTCAGCCTCTTCAGCAGGCCTCTGTCTGGCCCCTTTCCGAGTGTCAGCATGACCTGCTATTGATGTGTTTCATGCAACTGCCAAGAGTAGAGATAGGTTTACTTAGTTTATTTTATTTCATTCTCACCCTTTCGATCGGAATTCAGTTGTGTGTTGCTGTGTCCAGCATAGCGGGTGAGAGAGACCTGAAACGGGGGCGAGCACATAGTGAAAAGACAGACAACGTAAAATTTGGCAAGCGCGGAGTCAGGGGGCCCTCCTGCTCTCCGTGGCAGGAAGACAAAATGGGCCTTTCAGCCCGCACTTTTATTGGCAGAAGAGATTATTAGGGAATAGCTATACTGGGGAGCTCAATTAGCACCCCGTAAAAGTTAAGTTAAGGCTCTGCTGTTGATCAGGAATATCTTGTTTTGTTTCCATGGGGATGGATGCAGGGGTAGGCAGTGAAGTAGAGCAGCAAGCACGTCCGGCCCCAAGAATGTCCCGTTCGGCATGCTTCCTAGGACAGTCACGAGGGTGCAGTTTGCTGCACCCTCGAGTCATGGGGCAGCTTCTGGTCTCTGGGTTGCTCCAGCAGGCTACAACAGTATGTCTAGTTCTATTTTTGGCAGCTGGCTCAGGATCTCATTGAAAGCACCATCTCAAAGAGGTGAGGGAACCAGAATAAAGGAAACTTTTACTATCTACCTAACACCTAACATCCACCTGACTTAAGTTCTATGTGTATTAGTACTTTGAGCACAAATGTAATTAATACCGTTAAGCCTTCAGAAGGAAACTTAAAGTCGTGTAAAGCTTTTCAATGAAGCCAGCTCCTCTCTGACGTTGAACATTAACCTTCCATTTGCTTTCTCCTCTGATTTTTAGCAAGTTTGCACTATCTTTGCTGAAAATGTCTTAGGACACTAAAACAGCTCCTTCTTTGATAGTCAGCATCACCAGTGATGCCAGGGTCTGGTGGTGTCCCTTTAGCCTACTGTGTTTTAGGCCATGGTCTGAAATCCTTACTCTGTGGGGTCACTGGCTACAAGGGGGCTGGAGTGAAAGAACAGGTGACTATGTGGATGAAGGTGGGAGGTGGGGAATTGATCAGTGCAATGCATAGCCATGCTGTCTCTGTACAGGGAAATCGTGGCTCCTGGGAGACTGAGCAGTGATGGTTGGAATTGACATTAGCAGAGCATTTACAGGTGGCAGGGCCCGTCCACTGATGAAAGCAGTATCTGTCTCCCATGAGGTTTTACACAAGGAAACAAGTTAGCAGGTATGAAACACTCACATAATTTGTATGAGTTTACATTTATTTCTCTGGGGAAAGTTTAGGGTAAACATTTGAAAAAATAATAGGATTCTCTTGTGTGCCTCTAATTAGAGTCCTTTAGTTAGACTGTATGTTGATTAGAATGCTCTCACCCCTAAGTGGTGGTTGTGGTGTTCAGTTGCTCGGTCGTGGCCTACTCTTTGTGACCCCATGGACTGCAGCACACCAGGCTTCCCTGTCCTTCACCATCTCCTGGAGCCATCCAGCCATCTCAACCTCTGTCGTCCCCTTCTCCTCCTGCCATCAGTCTTTCCCAGCATCAGGGTCTTTTCTAATGAGTCAGCTCTTCACATCAAGTGGCCAAAGTATTGGAGCTTCAGCTTCAGTATCAGCCCTTCCAGTGAATATTCAGGATTAATTTCCTTTAGGACTGACTGGTTTGATCTCCTTGCTGTCCAAGGGACTCTCAAGAGTCTTCTCCAACACCACAGTTCAAAAGCATCAGTTGTAAATTTGGTCCACTGTAATGGCAAACCACATCAGCATTCTTGCCTTGATAACCCTGAGTAACAGGGTTCTGCCTTTGTGGCTGCATTGTGGGTTGTAGCAATCCTTCATGTTATGCAAATGAATCAACTTCCACAGCTCTCTGTGAGGACATAGATGTATTTTTTCTGTTCTGGTCTAGCAGTATGACTTGTTTCCCCCCACCCCCTGCCCATTATTTCTCTATGTGAAACTCATTTTGGATGAGGATGGTATTGGATCAGCATTATCAAGTCAAAAATCAACCCAGTGATTCAGATATAAACACACAGAAAACTTGCTAGCATGTAGCATTAATTTCTTTTTGAAACATCTTACATTTGAGTATTTTTTAAACTCTCCACTGTTATTTACTTTTTCTGATTTATAAGGATGATTGTGATGATGTGGTAACTAGTACTTACGGTGTTTTCACTATGTGTCAAAGACTATTTTTAAAAAATTTTTTGATACTTTCAAATTTTCTTTTTCTCTTTTTTTCAGCTTTACTGAGGTATACTTGACAAATTAAAATGATATATATTTAAGGAGTATAATATGATGATGTGATATGTGTATATTTGTGAAATGAGCACCACAGTCAAAGTCATTGACATTTTATTACCTCATGTCACCTTGCATGTGTGTGTGGTAAGAACACTTAAGATCAACTCTCTTAAGAAAATTTCAAGTACAATTTTATTAGCTTCAGTCAGCATGCTGTACATTAGATCTCCAGAACTTATGCATCCTATATAACTGAACTTTTATACCCTTACCAACACCTTTTCATCTCCCCATCCTCTCAACTCTTGAAACCACCCTTCTACTCTCTGCTTTTATGAGTTCGACTTTCTTAGATTCCACATATGAGTAAGATTATACAGCATTTATGTTTGTGAGTTGTCTTATTGCACTTAGCATAGTGTCCTCCAGGTTCATGTATGATGTTAAATACAAAATATTCTTTTTTTAAGACTGAATAATCCATTATACATAAATGTTATATGTTTTTAATAAATAAATTTAAATAAGTTAACTTTGTTTAACACAAATATTTAAATTTTATTTTATTTAAATAAATATATATATGTTAATACATAGAAGGTAAATTACTATACTAAATTTTATTTCACTTAAATATGTATATATAAATATGTTATATATACTGTATAATATATTAATATTATATTTGTACATATTTTTTTCTTTATTCTTCTGTTGATGTACACTAGGGTTGTTTCCTTACCTTAGCTATTACAGATACTGCTGCAGTGAACATGAGGGTTCAGATATCGCCTCAAGATAGTGATTTATTTCTTTTAGATTTGTAGCCAGATATGGGATTGTTGAATCATATGGTAGCTCTATTCTTAATTTGTTGAGGAATCTCCATACTGTTTTCCATAATGGCTATACCAGTTTCTATTTCCATTAAAAGTGTGCAAGTGTTCTCTTTGCTCTGCATCCTTGCCAACACTTATCCTCTTATGTTTTTGATAGCAGCCACTAAAACATCTGTGAGGTGATACGTCATTGTGGTTTTGATTTAGGTTTCCCTGATAATAACTCCAGAATGAAGAGATGGGGCCAAAGCAAAAACAGCACCCAGCTGTGGATGTGACTGGTGATGGAAGTAAAGTCTGATGCTGTAAAGAGCAATATTGCATAGGAATCTGGCGTATTAGGTCCATGAATCAAGGTAAATTAGAAGTGGTCAAACAGGAGATGGCAAGAGTGAACATCGACATTTTAGGAATCAGTCAACTAAAACGGACTGGAATGGGCGAATTTAATTCAGATGAACATTACATCTGCTACTGCAGGCAAGAATCACTTAGAAGAAATGGAGTAGCCATCATAGTCAACAAAAGACGCCAAAATGCAGTACTTGGGTATAATCTCAAAAACGACAAAATGATCTCTGTTCGTTTCCAAGGCAAACCATTCAGTATCACAGTAGTCCAAGTCTATGCCCCAACCAGTAATCCTGAAGAAGCTGAATTTCAATGGTTCTATGAAGACCTACAAGACCTTCTAGAACTAGCACCCAAAAAAGATGTCCTTTTCATCACAGGGGACTGGAATGAAAAAGTAGGAAGTCAAGAGATATCCGGAGTAACAGGCAAATTTGGCCTTGGAGTACAAAATGAAGCAGGGAAAAAGCTAACAGAATTTTGCCAAGAGAATGTACTGGTCATAGCAAACACCCTCTTCCAACAACACAGAGACGACTCTACACATGGACATCACCAGACAGTCAATACCGAAATCAGATTGATTATATTCTTTGCGGCGAAAGATGGAGGAGCTCTATACGGTCAGCAAAAACAAGACTGGGAACTGACTGTGGCTCAGATCATGAACTCGTTATTGCAAAATTCAGACTTAAATTGAAGAAAGTAGGGAAAACCACTAGACCATTGGTATGACCTAAATCAATTCCCTTATGATTATACAGTGGAAGTGATAAATAGATTCAAGGGATTAGATCTGATAGAGTGCCTGAAGACTTATGGATGGAGGTTTGGGACATTGTACAGGAGGCAGTGATTGAAGACCATCCCCAAGAAAAAGAAATGCAAAAAGGCAAAATGGTTGTCTGAGGAAGCCTTACAAATAGCTGAGAAAAGAAGAGAAGCTAAAGGCAAAGGAGAAAAGGAAAGATATACCCATTTGAATGCAGAGTTCCAAAGAATAGCAAGGAGAGATAAGAAAGCCTTTCTTAGTGATCAATGCAAAGAAATAGAGGAAAACAATAGAATGGGAAAGACTAGAGATCTTGTCAAGAAAATTAGAGATACCAAGGGAACATTTCATGCAAACATGGACACAATAAAGGACAGAAATGATATGGACCTAACAGAAGCAGAAGATATTAAGAAGAGGTGGCAAGAATACACAGAAGAACTGTAAAAAAATGACCCAGATAACCACAATGGTGTGATCTCTCACCTGGAGCCAGACATCCTGGAATGCAAAGTCAAGTGGGTCTTAGGAAGCATCACTATGTAGAAAGTTAGTGGAGTTGATGGAATTCCACTTGAGCTATTTCAGATCCTAAAAGGTGATGCTGTGAAAGTGCTGCACCCAATATGCCAGCAAATTTGGAAAACAGCAGTGGCCACAGGACTGAAAAAGGTCAGTTTTCATTCCAATCCAAAAGAAGTGCAATGCCA